TTGCCTGAACACCTGGCATCCATGACAAGTGGAAGAGTCATATTTCCTGGAAAGAACGGGGTGGGGGAACGTTTGTTTTACAGTTACTTTATCACTGGCCCCACCTTGATTCTCTTCATTCATTCCTTTCTGATTTATGCTTCTCCACTCCACGCCCATTTCCTACACTCAACAGCTGTCCATATGGCAGAAGAGAAAGAGAGACTTTGTTCTCTTGTGGATAGTGGTCTCCAGAAAATGATTCCAAGAAAGGATTAGGGAGGGGAAAATTTCAGGTGCACTGACCATTCCTTGGAGTGACATTAAGCATGAAAAAATAAATAAAAAGTACAATAACAGGTGGAAAAAATGAAGATGAAATTTCCAGTGCGGTTTCTAAAAAGCAAAATTTCTTGAAAAAAAAAAAGTAATACTATATAGGCCGCCCCTTTAGATACGCCTTCCTACTAAATGCTCAAGTTTTAAATCAATATCGCCGCGGCCTATCTCCGCGAAATTACGGTAATTCAATTTTAGGGAATTTTCTAAAATGTACAAAAACCAGGAGATCATTAAACCAGTAGACCAGGAGAAACTGATAAAATCCAGTAGTCTACTGGAAATTCCAGTAGAGTTGGCAGCTATGTGAATAGGATGAAAGAAAAAAGAGTGAATGTTTAAAATACCTTCAGGTGGCGCTCGAAGAGCAACTAAACGCCTCATTAAATCTTCGTCCGATGTCATGACTTGGGATGAGTTTTTAACTTCCATGGATAAAAGTTCTTTCAACTCATCTTCATATTCCTCTAAATTATCTTCCTCCACAGGTTTGGAAAGGGTAGCTTGAACCTCTCTATAGTCGTCTAATACCTACAAATGACAGCAGATTAAGACAGGAAAACACACTATATTTCATCAGTATTAATAGCAGAAAGAGCTGATTATTTGCAAGTGTTTAATTAATCCTGCTTATTACATATAACTGATCATTTTTTGTCTTATCTGTCAATAGAGAGAACTTATTAAATGCACATATTAATTGATGGATAGCCTGGTTGGTAGGGCGTGGGCTCGATCCCTGCCGGCCAAAGACTGCCCGTGAAGTAAATGGTGACTGATGCACGTTAAATCGTCAACAACAACAATAGATGGATAAAGATGTAGAGAATTCATCATTTGTTTAATATGAAGTTTATTTTATTTAACATCAAACTTCACAGTTTTTGAAGAATCAAAATGCTTCAATAATGTTATTTGCTTATTTTTAAATTTAACTAACATAATATCCAGTTTTCAGTGATGCATTTTTTATCCTACATTTAGAATAACATGTCACCAAAAAAAGAAAAAGCTATTTTTTTTAATTGCACAGGGACAAAATTATAAAATATTTGTTTCTAATTTCAAAAGATAAAGAAGACAAAATTTAGAAAAAAAGAAAAAGAATGAGCTTATGAACTTGCCCAACTCAAAAAATAAACCTCAGATTTATCTTATTATTTACTTTTGTGGTTTGCATAAACTGTTTTAAATGAATGCACATTAAGATTTGGTAAGGCACAGTTAGGAATTAAAACGCTTAGACAGGGTTCATACACTATTTCGAGAAAACAATATCCTGACTTTTGCAGGTTTTTTCTGATCTTTTACAATAAAATTCCTGACCTGCCTTTTCCCACTCCAACAAAACTTTTAACATTGCAGTTTCAATTAGTAATAATATGCTACTTAGTCATAAGTATCATAGATTGAATAGGATAAACACTTATATATTAAAGTGGAATTGCATAATAGCACTTTATATCTATAATTATATTTTCAGAAAACTTGTGAAACATATTTTTGATTATCATGATTAGATTAAACTTTTAGTGTGTTTTTGTATTTAGATACAAAAACTATTTAAATAAAAAGATCAAGAAAATCTGTTCGATTATGGAAATACTATTTTATTTAATGTAAGTGGAACCAAATGCACATGTGTCGTCAGGATATAAAGGGTTAATCAAATCTGCGATATGTATCAGTATCCTCAAATAATATTTACTCTTAAGAGTACATACTAGAACATTTGTTACATTAAAATATTAATTTTTAAAAATCACAATTTCACTTAAAACTGACTTTTCTTTTAAAAGATAATATTGAAATATAAAGGGGAAAAAAGTCAAGAAAAGTTAATTATATACAAATAAAAATTAAGATAGAAAAATTATGCAACTCGTGAGAAAAATAAAATCAAAAATATCTTCTTTTTTTCAGTATTTTTAAATTAATTTTTGTAATACTGTAAGTTTCTGGAGAAACTCAGGGGCTCCTCCTATGTAATATAAAATTTCTCAACATATTTTGTTGTTTGACAATTTCTGAATCAAGAACACCCAGTTCTGTTGCAGCAGTTTTTGTCAATTTAGATTTTCTTTAATTTCAAATTATCTTTTCTTTTATTCGTTTTCTAAAAATTTCAGCTTTTTTTTTTTTTTTTTTTTCCGGCTTCTAATGCATGTCNGGGCTTCTAATGCATGTCTCCATCTTGTTCTAGATCCTTTTACAGCATCTAGCATTTTTTCATTAATGTCTATGTTTTTTACTCCATTTATAAATGAAACATAATCAGCCTTTGTGAAATAATAGAGTCTTCATTGAGGTTTTCAACCAATAAGCTTTTATTGATTGAAAACCTCCCTTCGACTGTTGCGTTACCATGAGAGAGGATAAGAACAATTTTTATAACCTCCCACAAATTTTCACATTTTTTTTCTCTGTGCAAATATTTCGAAAAAATTTATCTAATCTCTTTTGCTCTGGATTAAACTCTAAGAAACTCTTTTGCTCTTCTTTTTTTTTTGGCAGCATCACAAGTAAAAATTCCTTTTTTGATTTTTCTGCTGTTGTTTCAGCTACTATTGTCTGTAAATCAGTTATTCACACAAAGATCAATAAACCTAGCAACCCTATCAAAAATTCCTTATCATTGGATAAACAGGATGATATTGCTAACAGGACTGGTTCTACAAGGGAGAGAGGAATGTTATTATAAGGAAATTACATATTTTGAATTACAGAATTTTTCCTTGAAACTTTATTTTTGCCTGACAGCCTTTGAATGAACTATAGTTTTTTTTATATTTTCCTAACTTTATGAATATGTAAGAAAAATCCTGGCTTTTTAGCTTAATTTTAGAATAGCCTGATTTTTGCAGGCTTTCCTGACCGTGTAGGAACCCTGTTAGAGAAAAGTTTCCAATATTACATTACATTAAAATTAATACTAAATTGAAAGAAAAAGAAAAGTATGCTGCCTCTAAGATATCAAACTATACATACCTCTTCGACATCGGACATAACCTGATCTACATTATCAAGATTTAGTTCACCAGAAATAGTTCCTTTCATTGCTTGAACACCTGTTTTATAGGCTTCCAATACCTGAAAAGCAGAAAGGAAAATTTATTTGCAATCAATGCTCAATAATTTAAAACAGTATCAAAAGCAAAAAAATTGAAAAAAGTTGGAAAAAGTGTTTAATAACAGAAAATTGAATGATTCTGTTTTTTAAAAAAATATTATTTTAAACACTACCATCCAAATAACCTTAAACACAAATAACTATAGGCACTTTCATTAAAAGAAATAAACAAACGCGACAAAAAAAGTCACCCTCAGAGAAATCATGGAAAACATCATTTAATAACATGCAACACTGACTCAGGATTTGATAACTGCCTGAATTTGGTTAGGAAGTGAGTCCACAAGGTTTTGCGGTTCGTCAAATCTAGTTTAAGCCGATAGCTAAGGATACGATTGCACAAATCCACCAAATTGCGACAATGCTGATTTTGTAATTTTACCCATTGTTCAGCAAATCCCTCATATTTTCAATGGGGTTCATGTGAGGTGATACTGCGGGCTAGTCGAGATCTAATTGAGTTTCTGAGTGCTCATAAAACCAGTCACATATTCGTCCAGCATGAAAAACATTGCTGTTGTCACCTTGAAAAATAGGGGTACCAGCAGCACACTTTACACGAAGATGTTGACTGAAAGGCACTACCTGATAATCCAGAATGTGCAAATAAAAATGTTAGTGGTCACCTCAGTGAGGGGGGCCCCAATCCATAATAAGAAAAACAACCCTAATACTTGACAGATCCACCTCCGGCTTAAACCTGACCTTGCACACAGTCAGGTTGATGAAATGCTTCAGCTGGCCTCCGAAGCACTCGACGACATGTGCCATTTAAATAAAGCCAAGAAACGTGATTCTTCAGACCATATTACATTCTGCCAGTCAGCAACTGTTTACATTTGGTGACTTCTATCCCACTGAAGTCGGGCAGCTTTATGTGCCTGTGTGAGCAATGGCTTCTGACGAGGTGTTCAACTCCAAATGTTCATTGCATGTAACTCCTATCAATGCTCTCTCACTAACGCTGTATTCACCATTGACCCTAACCCCCAGTCTGAGTTCAAAACAGGTTTTATGAGAGCAACTCTAGGTTAAAGTCCAAAATTTCATTTCACCGTGTACGTAACAGCGAGTTACTCTAACCCAGAGTTAAGTAACCTTAACCTGAAGACATTCCCGGTTAGAGTAATCACCCATGCGCAGTAAACTAGTGTGTGCTTATTTACTTTGTTTTCTTTGTTGGTATTTTTTTTTATTTCTAGACTTTTTTGTTTCCAAATTTTAATTATTTTGAATTTCAATTCTTTTTTTGTATTTTTAACCTGAAGATTTCTCCGATTTGAGCATTCACGGATGCAAAGCAGGAGATTTTTTTTATTCATTTATGTTTTCAAAAATAACACTTTTGATGTTTGGCTGCTTATGTTCAATGAGGTCAATTTTTTTATTTGATGTAACTATAACTAATTTATATCTTATAAGTGCTTATTAATAAAGTGAAAATTAAATAACACCTTTGATGTTCCGTTGCTTCTTTTTATGTTCATTGAGATCAATTCTTTTACTACACGTAACTATAATTAATTTAGATTGAATAAATGCTTCTTAATAAAATGAAAATAAATTTTCCCGAGTTTATATCTTCTATAGAAGATACTATATATATTTCCTTAATTATTATTAACAGTCGTTGCAGCACTTAAATAATTTTTCGCTCGAAAAAAACAAAACAAATTGTGGATAATACAGCTACAATAATTCAAATGAATAGTGTAAGTAAGAAGATTCTAAATAATTCAACTAACTCTTATTAATTTTTTTAAAAGAAAAAAAAGCAAAAAACAATCAATACTTGAAAGAAATATAAAATTTAAAAAAGAAATAATGATTATAGATAGAAATGATTATAGACATGATCATGATTATAGATTTTGATCTTATCTATCGAGATGATAGATCTTGTCCAAAAATAAAAATAGTTTAGAGATGAACTGGCAAAATAATGTGCAATATTTAGATATGAAGATAACGAAAAGAATTAGTACACACAGTCGAGCATGTCGCTTGCCCACTGCGTCACCTAACAAAACCTAATGATTCACCGGAGCTTGCGCACTAAGGTGACTCATTTTTTGTTTGTCTGGTGAGCTTATGTAAGCAATATATTTTGCAGTATACAAAATNTTTTTTTTTTTTTTTAAATAATTTTTGTTGTTGTCTAGTCCAAGAAATTATCAGAAATATTTAAAAATATTTTCTACATTTATTGAATATAGAAAGAAATGACCAATACGAATCAGACAGGTAAAAGCTATAAACATATACAGATAATTCAAATTGAGGCACAGATTGTTAAAATAAGAAGCTTACTAATTTTTCAGATCCTGTATTCCTCAAACGGTACAACAAGCTCTCTATGTTATCCAGAGCAGTTGTCTTTTTCTCAAGAATAATTTCAAGACGCTTCTTTCTTTTCAACATCATCATAGACTAAAATTAAAAAAATATATTTTAAAATAACTTTCATAAAGATTCAAAAAAGTTGCGGGGACAGTAGTTAACGACGATGTCAATCTTCATGTATGAAAAAGTACCCCATCACAGTATTGAGTTAACATATCTTATATACTAGTGAATTGAAATTGTAATTTTGTAGAGGTAGACGCACGGCAGTACGCCCCCACAAGAGTTATATCCGTAATAGAATTCGATGAACAGATACCACTAGTTGATCCATTGCAGTTTTGTCTGCAGAATTCAGGAGAGGTGCATTGAGATCACTGTACTTTTTGAGAGCCGTATTAAGCAGGGTTGGCAGGGTTTAGGACAGAATGGATTAATCCAAGGTTTACACCGTCCTGTCCTAAACCCCTTTACTCAAATTATGTCACAATTTTATCTGGAACAATATTTAAGAGGTAAAATAAACATAGAACTAATAACATATTGATAGTTAAATATACCAGAGAATATTTGTTTTTAAAAGTATAATGTTTTATTAATATTGTTTGACTCTTCAATTTAAACAAAGGAAGATTAATCAGTAATCAAGTTCAATTGGTCCTCTCATTCAATTATACATAACTGAAGTTTGGACTTACCATACAGGTTAAAATATTAGGGACTAAGTGCTTGGTTCGTCATAAACAGGTTTATTTATCTATAGTACTATTCAAGAATACTTTTATTTCATTCATGTTCAATTCTTTTAGCATCGTGGTGATACATCACCAGCGTCAGTAATTGAAACTTATGTAATGCCCTTCAAAACTGTTAATATATTTTTCAGTTATTTTGTATTTTCAATTTAAACTTCACTATGATAAAAAGTNACGGTTGTGGTCGCTCCCGTGTCTCCTTCAGCAGTCGAGCGTATACTTTGTGAGTGATCGAGACTGAGAAGCAACAGCATGAGGAAGACAATGTCGCAGTTACAAGTAGTGAGTTAAATGTTCAATGTGGACCGTTGATCAAAGTGGGCTTGTTCAAATCGAAATGAGGGTTTCTGTCAAGGTAAGCACGTTCGTATAAGGTCTGAAGGTCACCAACATGGGGTGAATGACAATGTCAACTTTCATCTATGAAAAGGTACTCCATCATAGAATCAAGTCAACGTGTCTTATATACTAGTGAATAGGAATTGTGATTTTGTAGAGGTAAACACACTACAAAGTTAACTTCTTAAGAGCTACTATGCTTCTCAGAAAATGTAGGACCTAACAAATAATATTCCCTCCCAGAAATGATCTGTTAATAAGATGATTTGATTCACATTAAGAAGTGCAGAAACTTGATGAAACTATAAAAAGTTTTCTACTTATGAATAAAGTAAAAATTGCTTTGTGTATAAAGTGCATGTATCTATGAGGAATTGCATGACAATGATTAACCGTTTCCCTGATTATTCCAAGTATACATATTGTAAATATTTATTTGCCCCAAGTATACTATCACGTTTTTATTCGGCCGGAAGCAAAACAATCTGCAGTGATTGGAAGTTTGCAATTGTATGTATGATGGTTGATGAATTTACATAGAAAAAGAATTAAAAAAAATGGTGTTTGCGACGGAGAGTAAAAGTAATGAAAGGGATTTTTCAGATGATGAAGATGTGAACATATACAAAAACTAATATTTAACTTTTTTAACACATAATAAAATTGAAATTTCAACTTAGAACTTGAGTATTATGTTTTGTTTTAGTTCCTTGTATTTATTAAAGAAATTAAAAAAATATGTTGATTTCTTGCATTTTTTTTTTTCAAAAAAATTGGCAAGGGTTAAAAAAAGTAGAATGATTGCAAGTAAAAATACAAAGAGCGAATAAAACAATCTAAAAAATAAAACGAGACAATAATATAACATTTAAAATGAAGATAAAATTTAAGTTTTAATAAACGAGATTTGTTCAAAATGATGCTCAGTTAACATTTGTAGATACTGTGTGTACAGTCTGCAAAAAAAAAAAGATATCACCCAGAATAACTTTTGTTCTAATGATTGGATTTTCACGTACTAAGTGCCAATCTTAATGGTTCCTGGGGTTGACATCAAATATGCTAATTAATAAGTGCTAACTATTAAATTATGAAATCCGACACAAAAACGGAAATGTGGTCCCCATAGTTTGGTCAGGAGACAATGAAGAAATAATTAAATAGGGAGACTAATATTAAAATGTGGTTAATTTACGAGGAACTTGACTTTGCACACGTGGCATAAAATGACATTAATAATTTATTTTTGCCAATTTTTTTACTTTTATAAACTATAAAATACGATGTTTCTTTTTTATTTTTAGTCGTCTAAAAATTTAGTAAAGAAATTTTAATAAAACCTTTTATTGAATAAAATAACATTTTATTCAACAAATGTTGAGTTTTATAAAAGCATGCTTCTGATAAAATACGATTATACTTCAGATTCTGCTTATTCGATGTGAATATTTTTATTCTTTAGTTTTTTTTTTCAATAATTGATACAATTTCAATAATATACATTCGTATTCATAGATTTGGAAAAATACACTTACCAATTTCTTCAATATATATTTAATAATTATTAATATGAATCACTCAACATTTTTAAGAATCTTAAAATTTATCAACATCTTATGTATCGTATTATTCTTAAAATAAATTTTTTAACCACATGTCCGGACGTGTTTCACAGAACTATTTTACCAACTATTTAATTAAATTTTAGCATTTTTAAAAATCTTATTCTTTAAGTTGCTATGTATAGTATTTCTTCATCAATATACTAATCAATTTTTTTTAAAAAGGAAAATTCAGAATTGGCAGATAATACTGCCAGCTAAAAATAAAACATTGTTAAGAAATTAAAAATATCTGCTGTTAGAATTATTTGATGCATAACAGCTGACTATTTACTAAGCATACTATTTTTTCGAAAAATGAATATAAATTATTGTCTTTTTTTGTTTTTGTTTCCTGAGACTTCAACATAGATTATCTAAAATAGTGTTGATGTTTTATGAGTAACTTCAAGGAGTATAGTTTGTCTACGGTAAGAACTCCCCCTGCCACATAGTCTGAGGCTGCCTGCTGCTATGGAAACAAGAATAGCGCATAGCAAGAATAGCAATACGAAGAAAAAGATTTCCTTTCTCTCGCCCACCTGAGCTAAAACCTGTCATAAACAGTGACCCCACACCCCTACTTGAAACAGATTACTATCATACTATAAATGCATTAAATCATATAGCTTGAATAATTTACTTTAAGCAAATTATTTAAGAATTTTGACGCCCGGTGGCCAAGTGGTAGTGCTTCATGCCACAGGACCTTGGTTTGATCCTCGGGCTGGGCAAGGTTGACTCAGCCTTTCATCTCTTCAGTGGGTCGATAAATGAGTACCAAGCATGCTTGGGAACTAAACACTGGGGGTTTCGCGTTCGGCTGACCACCTGACCGGAATATTTGCTCCTGCACCCCAGAATGGGCACAGTAGGCCGTGGCCCTCTCTAGGCTGTTGTGCCATGAATTTATGTTTTTATTTAAGAATTTTAAGCAAAGGCTTTTATTTTAAGGGCGTAAAAATAAACACGATCGAAATACTTCTAAAGTATACCCTAAAATATATGTAGAATATACGTTGGAATCGATAGATAAAAAATACCTTTTCAAACAATTTCGAGTAAAACGGAAACACTAGCTTGTTTAAAATAGCTGTCTTCATAACTATTTAATTTAAATTCCTGGTGCTAAGGGACGTTCTCTATTTCAATTGTTCTATTTCAATTCTCTAATTTCAATTGTAAATGGAATTGTAGGACTCCCAAGTATTTCATGAAACATGTAAAATGATTGGTGCTTTCGTACACTATGAGCCAATGGTACGCTGAAATAGATTGTGGTTGAATGAATTGTGAAAAAGTTGAATAGAACAATCTGAAAAGCACACTTTTGCATAACACATGGCGAAAATCGTGACCGAGGACTTCCCTACAAGATTTTCCAATGACACAGATATAGACAGAAAAACACACCCTTGTTATTTTTCAATTCCTTCAATATTTGATATAATGTCTGAAGATAGTGATGAAAAACAAAATATTGAACTGAACAAGAGTTTCAAAGCATAAAAGCTCTGGAACATATGAAAACCAAAAAGAAAAAAACAAGTAAATATTACAAAAATTAAATTTTCTTCTTCCCTGATTTTATGTTTTCCTGCTTCAGTTTTTTTTTTTTAAAAACACTAAGCCCACTGAAAATGTAAAATCATGGTTCCATTCTGAACTGAAAGTTACGAAAAATGAACATTTAAGTTATAAAAAATAATTATAAATCTCAAATAACGGAAAGATTTATTAATATTCCTCTAAAAAAAAAAGCTAATGAAGATTTTACTAGTTAAGAACAGTCCTCCAAACAAATTAATAACAATCAAACTCAAACTTTCAAAGACGGATAACTCTATCAGTATGCAATGAATTGTGAATTAACTTTTTTAAAAAAGAACAAAATCTATGGATTGGATTACTTTCATATGATTTTAACTAAATTTTCCTGATTTATTCATGAGCACAACAGCTGAGGGCCTCTAAACCATTTTCCCTTGTTACTAGAACATTCCAATTCAATATCCTAATTATTTTAAAATTGCATAATGGAACTCATTGAGGTCTTAGACATCCGGCTTGAATTGGAATATTTTGTGTGTTGGGCTAGTTGGATCTAAATGGAAAATGTGCTTTGCAAACCTCATTCTGTTTTATTTTATTACATCAATGTTCTTATAATTTTTGTAAATTTCCATTTTTTTTTCTATTTTGAAGAAATTGGCCTTTTTGATTTTGCTAAAAATTTTTTTGAAAGGTGGCTAGCTTAACTTGTGTGGCAGAGTCCAAGTGTTAATCAGGGTGCATAGCCAGATCTTTCAGCAAAGCACCATTTAAGTACTTTTTAAGCACTATATATATATAGACAAAATACAAAATAATTTTCAAAGACTGTACATGATGATGATAAAATAACAAGTTTCTGACAAATAACTCTTTTCTTGATTATATTAACCATTATAAAATGATCAAGAGATTTCTTGGTTCGATATCAGACGGTGAAAAATGTATCCTGAAATTGAGAATATCTTGCAAAATGCAGCAGAGTTGTTGAGTACAAGAATCTCACCGAACTAAGCTCAGTAGATGCACATGCGGATTCGCAAGTATTTTATTAAACATGTAAAATGATTGCCTCTTTCGTATGCTATGGGCTGACAGTACGCGGAAATGGATTGTGGTTGAATGAATTTTAAAAAGGTTGAATAGAGCATTGTGAAAACCATGCTTTTGCATAATACGTGACGAAAATCGACACGGTAAAGAAAAAAAAATCTCATTTTCGAAAAGGGAACATCAAGCACTTTTTAAAAGCACCATTAAGTGCTTTTAAAAAACGAAAATAAGTGCCTTTAAGCATTTTTTTAAAAATGCTACGGATTGATTAAAACAGACAAATAAAATTTTCTGACTGTTACAATACAGCCAACCTTTGATGCATGGTATTAAAAAATAACATTGAAAGAACACGGTAGAATGATTTACTTTCTTCATTAAGATTGGCAACAGTGTGTTGGAAGATATTTTGAAGGATCGTAACAAATTGGACGTTGAAACAGTCAAGCACCATTAACATATAACCTTAATAAGATCACTGAAACTTTTTTTGAATAAGAAATATGTTGTGTAACAATGCTTAAATTGTTTTTTTGCGAAACTATGTAGCCACATTTACAAAGTCAACAACTTTCTTCTTTCAGTCCAATTCGAACTGTAATAAACAAAAAACTCGGCAATGTAGCGGTCAGAAAAAAGAGCAGGTTCATAAACACTTTTTTTCCTTCTGGTATAAATGGATAAGATGTAAATAAATCTAATTCCTTAAAAATTGAAAATTATTTTGAAAAAGAAAAAAGATAAACGTTTAAAATGGATATTTGGGTAGAAAGAGCAAGTGGTAAAGATTAAACATTAGGCAATGTATTATATTTTAAGTAACATGACAATTTTCATCAAAGTTTGTTTTCAGCAGATAAAAAGTCAATAAATTATAAAAATAAGATAAACATATTTTCTGTTCAATTAAAAAATTAATTTCAACAAATAAATAAAATTATAATAGCAAGGGTTCACTCACTTTATTTTTGTATCCATTTTTAAGAAGCTGTTTTATAGAATTTGTGCAACTAAAAAATAAATAAAATTTTAAAAATTAATTTAAAAATAGACTAAATTAAATGAAATATAAAAGAAAGAAAGCACATATAATGAAAGATAATATCCAAGGAAAATTGCTTAAATAGTCAACTGAAACTTCCAATTCATTTTAAATAAAATTTTCATTCAAAGTTATAAATCAAGTGATTCGAATAAATTATTCTTATGAAATGATTCATATCACTGATTCAAATAATGTGATTTGGATCATTAGAACCAAGTGATTCGGTTCAGTGCTTCAAATTATGTGATTTAGATCTCATTTCGAAATGTAGTAATTTGGATCACTGATTCCAATAACATGACTAAAATGTAAATCTCGTGTTACAAATCAAAAGCTTAAAATAAATTTGAAATTGCAAAAACTTTAGAACATTTTTACTTATCTATCACTATTTTTCTTTAAACTAATGTCTATAGAAAAAAAAGGTGTTATTCTTTCTCATTAATGAAGTCTTTAAAAAAAATAAATATACTTATTATATCTTTCGCATAATTGCATTGCATATATTGCCAAATGTTATATATACTTTTAACTATGGCAAATTTTAAGAAACTATAAAGGAATTGTTTTATTAATTTATTTTCTTTCTATCTGAATCCACAAAATTCTTTAATTGGAAAATCTTAAGTCCTTAATAATAAATGTGTTAGAATCTCTCAGGTATTACAAGAAATTTTTAACTGTATATAATATAGCATCACTGCGAAACAAAACTAACCTGAAATTTAAGAAACAATTCTTTATTACAATTCAAATAAATCCATTTCGTAAAAATCATCGATTCGAATCCTGATAATAATGGAACAATTGATTAAAATGTATCAATGAACTATAATGAATTAATTATTCACTATAATTCTAATCCATTTCTATAAAATCAACTCATTCAAATCCTGATTATAATGAAACAATAATAAATTATACTTCAAATCCATTTCTATAAAATCAACTGATTCGAATCAGTCGCAATTTCGCGATTCAAATCTCAGAATTAGTACCCAACTAGAGATTGATTGAGATAGTTAGAAGTTAGTGAGTGGAATAACACCACCTTGGGAAACTGCTCTTGAATCTGCAATTTAAGACTTATTCTACAATTTATTAAGGTGTACAGCATCAATTTTTTACTGCTTCCTGGATTATCCCGAGTAAACTAGGGCATAGCAGAATTCGTCAATACGTTTTGTTTTATCACACTTTATCTTGGTCGGAAGTCAAACAAAAAATGATAATAATCTGCTGTGGTTGGAAGCTTACCAATTTTTGTTTCAGAGTTTTGCTATGTGTGTGACTGCAGATGTGTTTTGTGCAATTATATATATGATGGTTTCTGAATTTACATAGAAAAAAGAGTAAAAAAAAAAAAATGGCAATCGCAAACGAAAGTAATGCAGATGATTTTCGGATTATGAAGATGTGAACACATACAAAGACTAATATTTAACTTTTTTCAATTACAAGAGATAATTTGGGATAGCAAACTGATGGTAAATTAAATATTTTTTACACATAAAAAAATTAAAATGTCAGCTTATAACTAGCGTATTATGTTTTGTATTAGTTCCTTGTATTTATGAATGAAATAAAAAAATATGTTGATTCTTTGCATTTTTTTCTCAAAATATTAGGTAAGAAAAGCGGTTAAAGTTGATTCAATGATGGAATATTCCAAAAGAAACCAAAATCTAGAGCACCCATTGAAGTTTTGTGGATGAACTTCATTCTTAAATACAAAGCCTAACTAAGGCAGGGGCATACGGGGCAGCTGCTCCGGGCCCCCACACCAGAGAGGGGCTCCCAAATGGAATAGAAAGTTTATTTTACTTCTTTAATGAACTTTTTTTTTAAACAAAATATCAGTGCAGTGTAAAATCCATCAGTGTTATGTTAGCTTCTTCATTAATCTATGGCAGGGATGGGGAAACTACGGCCCGCGGGCCAACTGTGGCCCGCCGGAGGATTTTATCCGGCCCGCGGATAGAATTTTTATTTGCCGATCAGCGGCAAATATAAACAATATACATCCATTTTATTGTCGACTATGTTTAAAATTTTTTCAGCTTTTCCTTTTTTAACAAAGTACTGATGACATTTTTACTTTCTCTATTTTTGTTCTACAAAACATAAATTGATGGAAATAGTTAGCACAGACAGCTTCTATTGGTAAAATGTTGAAAGCAGAAGTTCTTTATAGAATAGCCGTAGATTGGCTCCAACTAGCGTTTGTCTTTCTCGAGGAGCTGACTTATGGAATCTAATATAGGTAAATTGTACTTCACATTTGGCAGACTGCGCATTTTACGCTCCAAAGAGCGGACAATCTAACAATCATCTGAAGCAGTTGTTTCTAAATATGCCTAAGTTTGACAAATCATTACCAAAAGCTAGTTTCCAAAATTTAAAATTTCACGCCCAGAAAATCAGTGCTATGTTAGCTTAATCTTATATACGTGAACAAGAGTTTTCAATTATGAACCTTAGAAAAAATTATTTCAGAAGTAGACTAACAGAAAAGGATTTAGTCTTGTTCCTTAAAATAAGCACATCTCACTTCGAACTTTAATATAAGGAAGTTTTAGAAATGAAATCGCAATTTCCTTCATCCCACTAAATATTTAAATTAAAACTTGTATATTGCTTTTTTTTTTCTTTCTTAAATTTTGAAGATCTTACTTGGCCCACCAAACATTTTTTTTTCTTGATTTTTGGCCCTCGACCAAAAAAGTTTGCCCATCCCTGATCTATGGTATGAACACAATCTATGTTTCGTAAATCCATGGCTTTCTAGGGCGGAAATCACAATTACAATGGACAAATTTGGCCAGTTAAAAGAACGTATTCTTATATATATATCGCAATATGTTTACAGAAATACTTAATTGAGCCCTCATCATTGCAAAAATTTCACCCTAATGTCAGCAAGAATATGAATTTTCCCCAGCTAGGTGACAAAGTCAACAATCAGAAAACTGCACTCGGCATGATGGATATAGAATTGTCAGAAACTCAATAAAATGGACAGAACGATATGTCATCTGATCATCGGAAAGGGCTTCATAGCTATTTTAGGTTCGAATAATTTTTCTTGTTATATATCTATAATGAGGTAAAAAATTTACATACCACCATAAAGTTCGGTACTTTATTACTGAAGTTGGTAAGCAGAGGGGGCCCCCAAAGAAATTTTTGCCCTGGGCTCTAATTGGGTTAAGTCGACAAAAACAAAGCAGACTTAAACAAATTCAGCGCAAATTCTGCATTGTTTGGGAGAGTTTTTTTTATCACTAACATTGAAAGTCAATGAATCCTGTTAAAAACTCGGGGTAGTGGATTCGAATCTGTGACAAATGCACACTTAGGCAAAACAGATAATCAAGGGAAAGAAGAAAAAAAAAAAAAGAAAGAACATTGCTAGAAACCTTCACAAGAAACTGGATTTATAAAATATTTCCTGAATGAGAGATATTACAAAAGGTCATTATACCTGGGATTATGGAGAAAATATAACTATGAATAAGACTGTTAACTGCTTCCTTTACCAATTTTTTTTTCGGAAAAAAATCAACAAATACTTTATTTTATTAATAAATACAAGGAACTAAAACAAAACATAATACACAAGTCTGAAGCTGAAATTTTAATTTTTCTTACGTGCAAAAAACATTTAATTTATCACCAGTTTAATATCACGAGTAGTCTCAGGCAAATTAAAAAGCTAAATATTAGTCTTTGTATGACAGTTTTTAAAATAAGGGACAACAGAAAGTTATTCTTTCCGAACGCCAGTGAAGTGTTACAATTTTTTTTAAAAACTCTTTTTTTCTAATTAAATTCAGCAGCAAACGATTATACAATTGCACAAACAGAGATGCAAGTGGCAAAACATGGTTTTGGAGCATCTTGGGAGCAACAAAAAAGCAATTTTGGAGCAGCAAAACAAAGATTTGGAGCATATTTAATAAATAGAATTAAAACAAGAATTTAATAACAAGAATTTTTAATTTTGTTCATTAATAACATATCTTATTTTTTACACTTTTTTGAAGGTTCCTGCATTAACAAATTAAGTTTCTTCTTGGTACCTTCCAATGCTGTTAAATATTCTACTATCCTCGACTTCGCCTCAGATAAGAGGATCTGTCCGCTTTCTATAATCGACATGTCTTTATTAATTTTACCCATGTTTAATATTTTTTTCAGCTGTTAATTAAACCATCAGCTAAATTAACTAATATAAACAAAACAAATGATTAAATAACGCAATATATTTCATACTTAATTATACAGGGAGGGGGGAAGGATAAAATAAAAGGAAAACTTATTAATCTAAATAAAAACAACACTTGAAAATATCGAACCGGAAACGATAGTTAAAAAAGACACCAGCATAAATATTAAAACCCAGACCAAGGCACAATTAAAAAGATCAACTGAATTAAAAAAAAAACCTAATGATAAAATTTATGAAAAAAAAAAAGAATTAATTTATTGAGTGCGAAATTTATCTTGAAAAGAAAAAAAAATCAAACGTCGTGGAATCAGAAAAACAAAACTGCAATATGTTTCATAAAATAATCGTATGTTTAAATTAACAATTCTCCTTTTTATTTTTATAAAAACGCGATTTTTATTTAAAGCAGATGTGATTCCACATCAAGAAAAACTTGCAAATGATACTGCACTTCCAAAGAATCAGAATTTATTCAAAAGAAAAATATTTTATTTTAATTAATCGATGACAAATAGATAAATATATTTTACTCTTTTATCTTCAGTTCACTGATATGCATGTGCAATGCATTTTCCCACCCCCTCGTAAATCAAAGAGAAAACGAAATCAGGTAAATATGTATTTTTTTAAAAATAAGTTTCTTTTTTATGAATTCCACTACATTAAAAGTGATAGCAGACTGAAAATACAACTTTGAAAAAGAGTTTCTATTATTATTCGCTCTAATCATCAGA